TGCTGACTAAAATGAGTGAACTTAACCGTGGTGACCTGTTCACGAGGAACGGTTGGCCTGGGTATACGACCATTTTTTCTAATCACGTCCTTCTCTGTAAATTAATTGATATCCTAGTATAAGTCCGTCTCCTTTTTATTAATACTCAGTGAGCCAGTCTTCTGAAGTCTGCTCTTGGAACTACACCAAGATGTAAAGTTTGGGCTGGAATAATCAATAATCAGTTTTTGTGTTTTTTTTTAAGCTCCTGAGTATTGGTTTTTCTACTGTGCTGGAGAAGCTATATATAGACTAGCATGGAGTTTAGCTAATCCTTTTAGGAACTCTAGGTTGTTGTGTCCTTTGAGTTAATGTGAACTGTCACTTTTTTTGTGAGGAAGATCAGCCCTGAGTTAACGTCCATGCCATTCCTCCTCTTTTTGCTGAGGAAGACTGGCCCTGAGCTAACATCCGTGCCCATCTTCCTCCGCTTTACGTGGGACACCACCACAGCATGGCCTGACAAGCTGTGTGCCAGTGTGCGCCCAGGATCTGAACCTGAACCGCCAGCAGCGGAGCGTGTGCACTTAAGCGCTACGCCACGGTGCCAGCCCCTGAACTGTCAGTTCTTAGTAAGCACTGGTTTGAGGGGTTGAGAACTGAGTAAGATCTAAGATTACTTGGTTTCCTCTGACTGCCTTCACTTCTTCCACGTTATACCCGACACCAGATTTTGAATGAATGGGCATGGGAGGACTATTAGAAGATGACACACTCAGAAGAATTCTTATAAAATGTTACTCATAACTCCAATGTGTAACACTTAAAGGAAAAACTGGGCTGTTTTTCATCAAAAAAAAAAAACAGAATAACACCTAGTTCCTGGTTTGTTCTATTTAAAGAGATAATATATGTAAGATGATCTAAGTACAATGTCTTTTCTCCTTCCTTTCTTCCTTCAAACCTGTTTTTATTTCATTCTTGGTTTACAGCTCTCCTTTGATTGTCTCCATTTTAAATGTCTAATCACAATTTAAAGCATTTAATTCAGAAATATGTGGCTTATATAAAATGAGACTGATTCTTAATTTGTAAAAGACAAGGGTCAAAAGTATTGTGAATAAAAAGTGACGCGAAGGCTTAATACTCAAAACTTCATGAAGAGTACTGTCTATAAAAGAAATTTATTTTAAAGGCTTCATTTAAAAATGTTACATTTATACATTTGGAGGGAACATTTTTATAATACTTACAAAAGGAGGAAAAGAATTTATAACTTATTAGTGTTTCTTTTCTTTAAATATCTATTCCATCTTTCAGGAAAGTGTAAGCCTCTTTTGGCTTTTTGTTATCCCTAACATTTGGAGGTACTTTTCCCAGACTGCTTAATGAGTGGTAATTGAAGTGAGTTCTTTTGAGTGCTTTTTGAACTTGAGTGCTTTGAAGATGATTATCGTATAACTTCTCCTTGTACTGATCCCAGAATATGGCATGGATACTCTCTTTCCACTCTTTGTCTTCAAGCCTTCACCATTTCTAGAGTCAACTCTTCCCATTCAAAGCCAGCTTGCATACTTTTCTACCCTGGGCCATAGTCATTTTCCCTTTTTCTGAACTTGGAGTCTGTGCCTCACCCCCTCTGGCACTTAATAGGTGCTCCAGAGTGAGCATGGTTTTCCCTGTCTACTGGAATAATTGCCCCTACCCCAATCTTCCAGCTAGGTCTCTGCCTCTTATGTCCTTTTCTGTGTAGTATGCGTCACATTCCAATGAAAAAAATAACTGACCGACTGACTGACTGAGGTTGCCTCACCTCCTTTACCTCACCCCTATTAGACAGTCGTCTCTCCAAGCCTCATACTTGGTAAAACTAGAAATCCAGCTGGAGGCGAGAGGGAGAGAGGGGAGAGTGAGCTCCAGTGATCACATGACTGACTTCTCCAAGCCTATATAAGCCTGGGCCAGGACAATAGTCTTTCTTCCTAAATAGCATGTACAGGCTGAGCAGAGGTTGGACCTATATCCTCTGGCCTGTGTCCAATCTGCTTCTGTGAATGTCATTATCCATTCTTTATTCTAATTAACACTTCTTTTTGTCAACCATTCACTAATGCTAACTTTTGGCTTTCTATAAATCTCAGTTTTCTGAATTCATTTAGATTTCTTGTAGAACTTTTCAAGTTTTATTCTGATTCCAGCAGTGTCATCTAAGGAGTCTAATCAGGGGCCGGCCTGGTGGTGTAGTGGTTAAGTTCGCTTACTCTGCTTTGGTGGATCCCGGGCGTGAACCAACACACCGCTCATCAAGCTATGCTGTGGCAGCATCCCACATACAAAATAGAGGAAGATTGGCACAGATGTTAGCTCAGGCACAATCTTCTTCAAGCAAAAAAAAAAAAAAAAGTCTAATCATTTATGAGAAAGGGGTGAAGTTGCTGCTTTTGGCAAGAATTGTGCACTCAAAAGTTTATCCTATCCATGCTGTAGTTTGATTATCAAAATATATTCTCAGCCTTGAAGGCTCAGTCTCCTTAATGTTCATGTCTGAATTGAAACCCGATGATCTAGATCTGGATCATTTATTAATTCAGCATAGTGCTAATTACTTTTTTTCTAATTATGACAAAGATATAACTTTTTACCTTCTCCTCAGAAACAGGTGTGCCCATGCCGGTAGCACCAACAGTATGATAATTTGAAGTAAAACCTATAATCAAACGAGCTGATTGCCAAATTATACCATTTTTATCTCTCTTCTGCACTCCCTTGTAATTAATATTCACCTACATAATAGAACACAGTCACACTCGGTTTGCCAGGTATCTGTTAGGAAAATTCATAATCAGTCTTGAGAAAATACACAGTAATTCCATTGATTTCTTGTGAAATTTCCAGTTTTCCTAGAAGGTGTGGGGTTGATGCTTCAAGGTGATGTAAGTAGAGAAGGCAGCTGCTTGAACAGATTGTCCCTAAATAATAATGATGTAAAGGCCTGGTAAAGAGCCCTGGAAGCTATAGTAGAGAGAGTTTTTGTCCTTTCAACTAATTGAGATTAGTTGTTGAGAATGTTCCTATTTTAAAAAGGAATCTCAGGCCCTGCCTGCCTTAGCATGCTATCATGGATTAGTGGTGAATTTTTCTGCAGTAGGAAGGGAAAATGGCTATATTCCCCTCATGTGTCTGCCATCCCCAAGTCCATCCTTCATTTTAGAGACAAGGGGACCAACATCTAGAGAAATTCACTAATAACTTAAGTAGGATCACACAATTAGTGGCTGAACTTTTAGTGCAAGATCTTGGTTTTCTAATTCTTTTTTCTGGGATGTTTCTCACTGAACCAAATAAGGCAGACTGTATGTGTGCTTCTTTCTTTAGAGATTTTTTAGTTCTTACATAAAGGAAATACGACATCAAAAACATATACTCCTGCAATAGGATGCTATATGCAGATTAGAATGTATCAGAATGATATCAACTAGTTGTTATTTTGCCCATCTGGTTATTTAGTTCTCTAAAATCTGATCACATTAGAATGTACAGACAAAAGGCTTTGACTTTGCAAAGGTGGTGACATGACCCAAAGTGTGCTGACCTTGGGAAATACTTTACTGAACATTTAAAAAATTAATTATGCATGTTAATGCAGCATGAGAAACATGATGTGCCCCTTGTAGGAATAATACTCAAGTTCCCTGGAGACAGGAGTTATAATTTATTCAGTTAGTTTTATATTCAGATGGTATAGTTTAGTGTGCCAGTGAGTGGTTATGTACTTCCACTTTTAAAAAGTCAGGTTTATTAAGGCGTAGTTTACATAGAGTAAAACCTCTTTTAAGCATACAGTTTTGACAAATGTACACAATCTGTAACCACTACCACACTCAAGATATAGAACATTTCCATCATCCCAGAAAGTTCCCTTGTGTCCCTTTGCCTGGTAACCACTGATCAAATAATTTTGCCTTTCAAGAAAGTCACATAAATGGAGACAGGCAATATGTAGCCTTTTTTAGTCTGTTTTATTTCTTTTAGCATAATGTTTTTGAGATTTATCTAAGTTGTTGCATGTGTTTCTAGTTTGTTTCTTTTTATTGCTGACTACTCTTCCATTGAATAAGTGTCCCACAATTTGTTTATCCATTCACTAGTTGACAGACATTTGGGTCATTTGCACTTTTGGATTAGTATGAATAAAGCTACCATAAATATTCACCTACAAACCTGAGGATACTTGTTTTGGTTTTTGGTAAATACCTAGGAATGGGATTGCTTAGTTGTGTTGAGTGCATTTAACTTGACAGAAACTGCCCATGTGTTTTCCAAAATGGATATGCCATTTTGTATTCTTACCAGCAAGGTATGGGAGCTCCTGTTGTTTCTCATTCTTGCCAGCGTGTGGTATTGTCAGTCTTCTTGCTTTTACTTTAATTAAAATCTCGTGGTTTTAGTTTGCATTTCTCTGGTGACTAATGATACTGAACATCTTTTCAGGTACTTGTATGCCCTCTGTATATCTTCTTTGGCGAAGTGTCTGTTTAAAATTTTGCCCATTTTTAAATGGGTTTTTGTCTTATTGAGTTTTCAGAGTTCTTTTTATATTCTGGATCCAAGTCCTTTATCAGATACATGTTTTACAAATATTTTTCCATCTATGGCTTGTCTTTTCTTTTTATTGACAGTGTCTTCAGAAGAGTGGAGATTTTTAATCTTCAATACTTTTGTATCTTTTTAGTTATAAAATTAACACAACTATTATAATAAATTAAAGAATATTAAAGTATTTCTTTCCTATCTAATCTTATCCTTCTAGTATTTAAGCACACTAATAATCTAGTGAAAGAGAAAATTTTAATGTTATATGCAAAGGTAAAATTTCTTCTTTAAGAAATATATTTTGAAAGTTTTTTTTATGTTTAACAACTAAAATTTCTCTTTATGTTCAAGAGGATAATTAGGGGGAAAAGAAGAGTTACCTGTTGAAATATTCCAGTTTAACTTGCTTTGCTTTTCTTTTATTCTAGTGTTATCCAGGATAAATTCTGTGGGATTATAAACATCTCAGTGGAGGGCCTACATGATGTCATGACGGAAGATCCTGAAACAGGAACCTATAAAGAGTAGGTGGAACGTTTAATTAATTTCATTTGGACTTGGGAGGGGCAGTTAAGTACATCCTGTATGATTTCTGTTCGCTATCACCATATAAGCACAGGAAGGCAACTTTTTCATTTTGTTCTTCTTGAAGAAACAGTTTTATTTTGCATGTAATATTGTTTGATCTGAGATCAGCTTTATTTTTGTTATAGTAAAATTCTGAATTGGGCTTCTTTGGTCTAATCATTTTATGATTTGACATTAGGTTTTTTAAAAATCCAGGTGTGTTTTAGCATATAAATTCTTTTTTTAAGACATTTTGAATATATCTTCTTTTCAATGAAGTTCCCCTGCCTTTCAGGCAAATTATGGGGAAAAGGAGATGGGTAAGCATCCTGTGTTTGTATTTGCCTCCTTGGTGTATCACTGGCACCTTTAAGATATTAGAGGGCCATATGATACTTGACTAGTACCAAAAAAAAATAGTTAAAATTATATTTTTGGGGAGAACAGTTAAAATCATGTTATCAGGAATGCTGATAATCTTTTTATATAACTATTAATTTGAAATTTTCTTGTTTTGTTAATCATTGTATCCTTTTGTAGTTAGAATTTTTACACTTTTCCTCTTATTACTACAGGCATACCTTGGAGATATTGCGGGTTTGGTTCAGATCACCGCAATAGAGCGAATATTGCAATAAAGCAAGTCACATGAATTTTTTGATTTCCCAGTGCATGTAGAAGTTGTATTTACATTATACTGTAGTCTATTAAGTGTGCAATAGCATTATTTCAAAAAGAACAATGTACATACCTTAATTAAGAAATACTTTATTGCTAAAAAACACTAACCATTATCTGAGCCTTTAGCAAGTTGTAATCTGTTTGCTGGTGGAGAGTCTTGTAAAAAATGCAATATTGGGCCAGCCCCGTGGCTTAGCGGTTGAACGCGCGCGCTCCGCTGCTGGTGACCCGGGTTCGGATCCCAGGCGCGCACCGACGTACCGCTTCTCCGGCCATGCTGAGGCTGCGTCCCACGTGCAGCAACTAGAAGGATGTGCAACTATGACATACAGCTATCTACTGGGGCTTTGGGGAAAAAGAAAGAAATAAACAAAATTTAAAAAAATGCAATATCTGTGAAGAGCAATAAAGGGAAGCACAATAAAACAAGATATGCTTGTATTAATAAAGGGCATGTTTCATATAATGATAAGCAAGACTTCATGAGATTCCAGACTGCTTGGCTTCTCCTCAATAATAATAATGAGCTGTTTTCTTTGCTCTTTATAAATCCACCTATAACAAATGGGAAAGATTACCCTTTGAATCATATTTTGTTGAAAAATATGGAAAGCAGATATATGTTGTTGAGTCTTATTAAACAAAATGTGTCTGGCATGTAACTTAGCTTTTGAGAACATAGGAATTCAGATGAAGTAGAAACCTCAAACTTTTGTGATTACAAATCAGAAATAAACCATTCATGCATGTAGGCAGATTTTTTCAAGTTAATGTAGGGTTTATGGCACTTGAGTGTAAATATTGTGTTTTTATACATAATATCTGACAAAGTTTACAACTATTTGTGAAATATTTAGGATATTCAAATGTTCCTTGTCCTTCTCTTTGGAGTATATAATTTAGTTAGGGGGAGGGCATGTCTAATAGCACAGTGAAAACACTAGTAATGAGTAAAGGCAGTTATGTATGTTTTGAACAAAGCACACAAAATAGTAAAATTACAGACTGTGCTTTAGTAGGAAATCAGAGAAAGAAAAGGCACTGTTTGTTACAGTCTTCAGGGAGGGATAAGAGTGAAGATACAGGAAGTAGAACATAATTATAGTGTGGTTTAACTGGAAGTGGTTAGAGTCAGCAAGTTGTTAGAAATAAAATTTAGAAATTATCTAGTGCAGTTTCATTATTTTAAAGATCAGGATATAGAGGCTCAGAAAAGTGGAGTGACGTAGCAAAGAAGTGGAAGAGTCAAGACTAGAGGCAAGATCTTCTTACTCAGTAAGCCAAGGTTAGTCATGAAAAACGTTTCGGTTTGGAAGAGGAAAATGTTGGGCGTAAGGAAACAGACTGACTAGGAGACCGTTATAGGGATCCAGACTAGAAAGGCCCAGACTTGAGGGTTAGGGTGCATGGGTAGCTGGAACATATGACCACTGTTTGCTTTTCCTCCCCAGAATTTTTACCCTGGGGTGGTATTTGGCCTGTGGAAGCACAGTGTAGAAACCATTGACCTAACTTTTCTGAGTCTCGGTTTCTAAGAAGGGTTAGACTAGATTTCTGATAAATCCTCCTATTCTGTAATTCTGTGGATTACACAGAGTTCTTTAAATTAAAGTCCATGAGAATGTAGGGTATAAATAGACTTTCAGAAAAGTCCATGTGAGAAACATAAAATATTTACTTATGTAGCTAACTTAGCCTTCAATTTCCCCTTCCTGTTTATTGAAACACTTTATTCAAAGAAAGTTATTCTTTCCAGTTCTGCTGAATTCCTATTGATTCTCAGTGTAGAATGAATTAGAACAAAGGAAGAAAATTCTGTTTTTTTTACCTGCATAAGTGGTATATTAGTCAGGGTTCTCCAGAGAACAGAAGCAATAGGAGGTATATGTATATATATAAAGAGATTCATTATAAAGAATTGACTCATGCAATGTGGAGGCTGAGAAGTCCCCAGATCTGAAGTTGGCAAGCTAGAGACTCAGGAGAGCCAATGGTATAGTTCCAGTCCAAGTCCAAATGCTGGAAAAGCCGGAGAGCCAGTGGTCTAAGTTCTAGTCCAAGTCTGAGTCAGAAGGCAGGAGAAGACCAGTGTTCCGGCTAGAAGACAGTCAGGCAGAGAGAGTGAATTCTCTTAGTCTTTTTGTTCTATTCAGGCCTTCAACTGATTGATCGAGGCTCACGCACATTGGGGAGGGCAATCTGCCTTACTCAGTGTACAGATTCAGATGTTAGTCTCATCCAGAAACACCTAGAATAATACATAACCAAATATCTTGGCAGCCCATGGTCCAGTCAAGTTGACACACAAAATTAATCACAATAAAGAAGCCTTGTTGACAGATCATCACTTTATTCAGACTTGGTTATGCCAGGCATTGTGCCATGTGCAGAAGCAGCTGCAGCTCTGTCCTGAAAGAGCTCACAGCCCAGAAGGGGAAATGGGGACCAGTTTGGAGCCAACTAGTAAAGTAACCTGTGTGAAATGCAAACGATTTTCGACTGTTTTGTGTAGTCAGTGGGGATCCATTGGCAATTTTAAAACATGAAAGTGACATGATCAGATTTATGCTTCAGAAAGGTCACCTTGATGCCTTGTGGAGAATGACTGGGAGACGTAGAGAGGCTCACAGTGAGTTGTCTTACATCAGTGTAACAACCTGGGATGCTTGTTAAAAATGCAGATTCCCCCCTTCCCCGTCCAGAGCCGTTATATCAGAATCTTTGGGAGTAGGATAATAGAACTTGCATTGTAAACAGGAACCCTGGATGATTCATATGCACTCTAAAAATTGAGAATCTACTGCATGGGAGGTGGGGGAACCCTTTAGGTAGTTGTTCTACTCTTAATGAGTAATGATGATAGGAATTTGAGGTAGATTTTGGAGGGAGGATTGGCAAGAATTGATGACAAGTGGGTGTGGCTGGAAAAGGTTGACAGGTGTTTGTAGTTTGGGTGACATATGACACACACACAATTTTAAAAACTACGTGTGCTTATGCCTAACAGCCTATGCTAATTATTGCCCTTTAATATGTCGTCATAACTATGTTCTTGTAGGCATTTTAAAATTTAATGTAAGATTTTGTTTGGTAAAAAATGGAAATGGGTTTTTATTTGCTGTTATGATGATCTCGGTTTTTATTTTACTTAGAATAGTTTATCTTCCAGGATAAATAGTCAACAGTTGGCTATTATTAAAATAGTATAGAACATGAATCCATTTAGAAGAAAGAAGAGTCCCATTTTGAGAGTTTACAAATCTGGTTTTTTTTTTATGTTTGTGTTTTAGTTAGTAGAGTTCTTATTTCATTAAACCAGGAAAATATATTAATGAGGCTAGAGATTTGCCTCTGCTTGTCTTTGGCTAGAATGTTTCCCTTTTTTTCCTAAATATTTTGTTGTTAGGCACATTGAGAAAAGAGATTGGCGACCCTGTGCCAAAGTTTGGGAAGTAAAAAGGAAGTAAGAATTTAGCCAGCATTTTAGGGAGCTTAGAGGCACTAAAATTTATTAGAAAAAGACTCATAAATTGTGGTTTTTTATAGCTAGAGAGTGTAGAACATACCAGCCATAAAGGAAGTGTTTTATTTGAGACAAAAGTAGTATTTAGGCTTTTAAAAGCATTTTTTTCTACGTCACTTGATACATTGACCCACTAGACGGCTCTTCAGAATGGAATAGAGAATACCAGAAGAAACCTTGGTTCTCTGATTCTGACATTATTGCCTGTATAATTGACTAATTGAATAATGTTGTCAGTTCTCGTTGTATTGTAACATTCAGAAGTGAGTTTGTGTAGATTAAATGGAAAGTGTTGTAGCAAGTACTTTTTAAATGAGAAATGGTTTAAGAGGTTTCATGTTGCTTGGTGACACTGTTGGTTGTGTGTGGCTGCTTGCAGTTTCTTGCTGGGAAAGATTCTGACTCAGCAAGCTAGAGTGCCTGGATCTATTCAGTGAGTGGCTGTAGAATGTGAGGGGTGGCTGCCTGTGTTTGCATGTTAGTTGTCCCTATTTTCAACTGTTGTTATTATTTTATTGCTATTATTATATTCACAACCCACACATTTTTAGCTTATTAGAAATCTATTAATTCTTACCATGCCTTTTATGTGAAACATGATTCCCTATCTTGAATCTTTGTCATCAAAGTAAGATTTGACTTTTAATTGGAGATTTTCCTGCAGGAGAGAATTTCAGCTTTGGACTTCTCAGTCTAATTTTTCTTTTTTTTTCACTTTCCACCTTCCAGAGACCCAAAGGAATGCAATTTGCAATATTGCAAAACAAAAATATTCTGCCCTCTGGGTAATTTTTGGTCAGTGGAAAAAAAAATGTGTGTGTGTATATTTATATTCAGAATATACTCCATTATTAATGTGATAAATCTTTTAACTTAGGGAAGGGAGAACAGAGTGTTCTTACTGTACAAGTAAGTTAACAGATTTTGGTGCAGTGAAATAATTTGGTGCAGAATAAAATATTCTTCCATGGAGATCCAGATTCATGGCAGTTAGAATTCAAGTCTGCAGCAGACATAAAATAGCTGGTGTGAAGGAACCCCATCTTATTATTCAGTTCTAAAATACAAACTGGGATCTAGACTTTTTCTAGGTATTTCACTTTATTAAATAGCTTTTGGGTTGAGATAATAGTGCTATAATTTTCGCACTTTGTAGCAGAGTCCCTTGGCCTACCGGTTGTGTCATATCATTTTATGTTGTGGTGGACGAAAGCATTGCAGCTCCAAGAGGCCAAGGCCGTGCAATGAGTTAGGGATTGAGCTCTTGCTGTGTTTCAGGGCTTCTGATTTCCAGTTTAAGGTTCTCACTGTTTGATGCCACCAGTGTGCACTGACTGGGTCAGAGGGAGTTGTTCCAAAAGTTGTTTTTTAATGGGAGAGAATAGAGGGGAAAGGACACTCGTGTGTCTTGCAAGAGTGAGCCTGATCAAGCTTTTGGTGTCAGCATCTGTCGTTAACCCTTAATTAAATTAATTTTAGTCTGCTCATGATAGTCAGTCCATGAATTAATCACATTAGCCCTCAAGGGCTTCATTCTCAGGTATAACTAACACTACACTGCGCTGACAGCCTTTTTTAAACCGTATTTGAGTTTAATCCATTTTACTTTGCTTTTATGCTAGATATCCTCTCTCTAGCAGCTAGTGTAGAGGAAAGGACAATATCCAAGAAATCATTAAGACCCGAATTCTAGTCCTGTTTGTGCTGTTAATTGTGACCTTGAGCAAGTCACCTTCTCTCTTGAAAGCTGTTATCTCATCTGAGAAATAAAGGGAGGGAATTGGATTAGTGGATTCCCCAGGACCTGTGAGCTGAAAAATGATTTGATTTTTTTTAGCTCTTAATATTATTCCTTTCCTTCCCCAATATATAATGTTCTAGTCAAGTATTCAATTGTGAGTATAACTCTGAAAGTATGTCTCCCCTGAAATGAGACTGCTAAGTGGTATCCTAAATACGTGGAAAATGTGTTTTCTTCACTTAGAGTGATGCTAGCCTTTTTGGTATAACCTAACAGTTTGTCTTTCCCCCACTGTCACCTCCACTTTTTTTTAAGCATTGATTATATATACTATATATATATATATATATATACTATATATATATATACTATATATATACTATATATATACTAAGCTATTTACACAGCTTAGTAGGGAATTGTCCTTCACCTGTACTTGCTACAAAGCGTAAGAGAAACCAAACTCTCTTTGCCACAGGTTGGGAACCTATGACTCTCATAAATTACTGAATTCTGTTCTAAATTAGGAAACAGGGAGGTTTATTCCATCAACTTTATTCTCTAGACAATATTCATTTCTTGTCTCCCTGGAACCAGTGTTGACTGAATAGGAATCTGTTTTTCTATTATCTCTGCTAATGGTGAAGAGCAGTGATGCAGATAATCAAAATAAAATGATTTATAACTGTCTTGCAGGTACAAGTGCTCTCAGGGACTAGTTCCTCGTAGCATAGTAATGTCATTTGGAGCACAAAGTAGATTGTTACATAATCAATAGTGTTTTAATGAAGTTATTGTTTAAATTGTTGCTACTGTTATGAAACATGTATAGTAATCTGCAGGCATATGAAGATTAGTGGTAAAAGAAGTATTGATTTTAAATGTTTGTATCATTTTTTAGACAGGTATGGAGGGTACACCTTGTTTTGTCAAGTGATGTATGATTCAAAAGTTGCCTATAAATAAATTTCTTATAATTTACTACCTTAAATGCTCAGGGAAAATGGTCTAAAATTTTTTGGTGTGGTGCTTTTTAAAGTGAGATATTTTTTAGTTAAAAATTTTTTTAAATTATAAATCTAGTTTAGTCTGTTCCTTACATTTTGGTATATAGAAACATTAATGTTCTCATTGATTTGGAGGGTTTTTAGTATGTTACAGACATTTTATATTTATTTAAAACATTTTTTTTTAAACTATAGCTGTATGTTGATGTCTCATCTTGAAGAACCAAAAGTAACAGAAGATGAGGAACCACCCACAGAACAGGATAAGAGGAAAAAGATGGTAAGTTACAAAAGTAGCCTCTAAAAATTTGGGAGAACCATATAGCATCATCATATTCTGTAGGTTTGAAAATATCTGTTGGTCCATTCATCCATCCATCTAGCCATCTAGCCATCCTTTGTTGCAGAGTTAATATAGCTAACTGAGTTTTGAAATTTGGAGTGTACTTCTAAAACAGATAAATTGTACGGGAAGTTGAGTTTAACTCTTGATCTGAAATAATCGTTTCTTGTCTTAGCAGAGCAGAGGGTTTTACTCTTTTACATATGGAGAACGTGACTCTCAAACCTTATTTAAGTTGTAATGCTAATTCTTCTTTTTTGAGGAGATTTACTGAAATTGCTTCATTCTCTGTTATTTCATGGATCTTCACAATGAACTTTTTCTGAGATATATTACAGGCCTTTATAAAAATGCCTTTAAATTAACTGCTAAATTGTTTTGAAAACCATTCTCGCTACAGAAATCTGATAAGAAAAAGGAACAAAAAATAGGAAATATCTAAAATATCTTGCCTTTAGAATTATTTATGATCTTGAGTTTTTAAATACTTACTTTGATACATGAATATAAAATAGATACATAAATAAACTTTCCTCTCTTTTCTCTTGTAATCTCTTCAAGTCTCCTGGCCTCACCAGTTATTAACTTCATTATGCCTTCTTTTTTCCTTTTCAAAATGAGAACAATATCTGCCTCAAAAGTAAGATAAGTTAATTAATATATGAAATGGTCATAGGATAATGCTGAACACCTAGTAATTACTCTTAAGTGTTAGCTATCTGTACTATTTTAGTCTGCTCATGATAGTCAGTCCATGAATTAATCACATTAGCCCTCAAGGGCTTCATTCTCAGGTATAACTAACACTACACTGCGCTGACAGCCTTTTTTAAACCGTATTTGAGTTTAATCCATTTTACTTTGCTTTTATGCTAGATATCCTCTCTCTAGCAGCTAGTGTAGAGGAAAGGACAATATCCAAGAAATCATTAAGACCCGAATTCTAGTCCTGTTTGTGCTGTTAATTGTGACCTTGAGCAAGTCACCTTCTCTCTTGAAAGCTGTTATCTCATCTGAGAAATAAAGGGAGGGAATTGGATTAGTGGATTCCCCAGGACCTGTGAGCTGAAAAATGATTTGATTTTTTTTAGCTCTTAATATTATTCCTTTCCTTCCCCAGTATATAATGTTCTAGTCAAGTATTCAATTGTGAGTATAACTCTGAAAGTATGTCTCCCCTGAAATGAGACTGCTAAGTGGTATCCTAAATACGTGGAAAATGTGTTTTCTTCACTTAGAGTGATGCTAGCCTTTTTGGTATAACCTAACAGTTTGTCTTTCCCCCACTGTCACCTCCACTTTTTTTTAAGCATTGATTATGTCATTGGTGTTATAGAAAAATGTGATAACGTATTTCTTCATGAGATTCTGAACTTGTAAATGAATAATAGGTATTCTGCTCCCATTGAGTCATCAGCTTTTGTGCACACTTTTTAAACGTCAATTAGTCTGGTAGGTCTACCCTTAGCCAATTAATTTACCCAAATCTATTTTTCATTCTATATAGAATCCTCGGTAACATCAGGTAGTAGTAATTTTAATTCTAACTTTATTTTGAAGATAAGTGAAATGTTATCTCGAAGAGCAGTATAAGAACATAGTTTTAGAAATAACGAAGTTCCTTGATTCAGTTTTGTGATCCTAAATTTTATTTGAGAGCTGGTTATCTTATCATTTTTGTTCTGATTATAGGTAGTATTGGTTTATAGAACAACCATTATTTTTCAGTTAAAGTTAGTCATCACAGTAGTTACTTGATGGTAGATTTATATTGTCATTTCGACCAAGATTTCCAATGCCTAAGGCTTAAATCTTGGTCTTATGCTGATGATACTACAGTGTTTATGATTAAAGCTGGGATTATGTGTTTTAGCATTGAATAAATCTAATTATGAAAATAGTGCTAATTTTTCAATAACTTTAAACAAACAAAATTAGTTTCACTCTATCTTCAGAGTTACAAGTATAAATTATGTATTTTCTTTCAGTAATTGTATCATCATTCTTTACTGTGATGTCTTTAACATTAGAAATTTTTTGAGAACTATAAATGTGTTTTGGTTGTAATTTAAAAGGAAAGTCTTTGCTGGTAGATGATTGTGAATTACTATTTAAAAGAAAAACCAATCCAGCATCAAAGATTTTTTTCATTTTAAACTGAAATTGTTTATTTACTAGGAAGAAAGGGTATAGCTGCTCAGTTTTAAGATTACAGAAATGAAGGTTTGATTTACTTACTGTCATTGTTGTATTCAAGTGCTCCCTAAAATGTAGTGTCTGCTCCTTTCATAGAGGACAGCACTGGTGGTTGTAATATAGAAAAGTGAATGATTAATATTGTATCAAATGTGCCAAATAATTTTCCATAGGTTTATGAGAATTCTCTATATTTCATCTTAGGTAAGGATGAAATTTCTGTTCAAGAAAGCTGTTAAGCTGTCCAGACTTTTGATCTTGTCCTTTTTAATCCAGCTCCTCTCTATCCTGCAGTATCCATTTTGGGGAAGCTAACACTTACAAGATCGAATGCAGCTCCAGCATTTCACTTCATTTCTAAGTTCCCTCTCTGTCTGGTATACTCTAATAGTAGAAGGATAATTTCATAACCTTTTCTATAAAGAATTAAGGTTATGCAGTAACACTTTAAGTTGCTTATAATTTCTTTTCTTGTGACATGTGACTTACTAGGCATTTATCAGTTGTATTTTCCAAATTTAAGTTTCTGAGCATATTAATGCTTTCTGGTGACTTTATGGTACCTGCTAAGAAAGCATTAATGAAACATTTGATATGGTAAGTAAAGCTGTGCTAATGAGGTATTTCTGATCATTCTTTTCTGTTACATATTTCTCAGTTTAAGCTCTAGAAATATTTTGATAATCTGCTTCTATAAATAATAATCTAGTTTTATATACTTATTAGATGCTTTAATTGATATGGCAATATAAATAATTTTACACATTAATAAAACTACACTAACTTCTCATTTATTTGTACTGGTAGAAGTACTAGCACAAATAATGGTCTATCTAAACATCATTTATATGCTTTGAAGTATACCTTATATATATATAACATTGTCTATTTTTCCAAAGCATTTTTTAGGATCTCGTCTTATTTACCGCCATAATAGTTTTATGGCCAGGTACAGATGAGAAAACCAAGGCACAGAGAAGTTACCCCTTGGCTTAGAGTTACAGATTTAAGTAAAGATCAAGATTAGAGCCGAGCTTTCTTGCCTCCTAGCCTAGTGCAGTCTCTGCAATTTTAATTTCTAAAATTTCTGTAGCTTTTCTAGAATATTTCGAGGAATCCCACAAACTGCAGAATGTATAGGGGCCTACATGTTTGGGGGGAAAATACACCACCTTATAACACAGCTCAGCTACCACAAGTCAGTGGAATTGGAATTAGAGCTGTGGAGTAAGTATAGTTTGTCATGTCCTTGTGATAGACATGGCTAAGAAACAAGTAGTTTATTATTTTGTGGGTTTGCCTTACTTTAATAATTAAATTTAGTTTGCAGTTATTGAACAAACTATAACTGAGAGCTGGAGAAATGACCTTGAATGATAAATGACAAAACTTTGAATGACCTTCAGTGACAAAGACGAGGGAGAATGTTAATGATAATTCACAAAGATGGTAATCTTTTTGTGAATAACGTTGAGTATTTATTATATTTAAGTTTAAGTATTTAAGTTTTAAGTATTTTATGTACTTACTGAGTGCCTGTTACATGCCAGACACTTGGCATTAAGGATATGGCAGTGAACAAAACAGATAAAGCCCCAATGGAATGGAGCTTACAGTCTAAAGAAATTACATATGTGTGTATAACAAAGTCGTGTATTGTTAAGCTTATGAAGATTTAGATTAAGTAATAAATACCGCCATAGTTTTCTAAGTTTGTAGCATGTTCATAAAATTTGGAAGTTTTATATATATTGGTACTAGAAATATTTTTTTTACTGCATTTTAATAAATCAATTAAAGAGTGTAGCTGGAGTTTGCCCCTCTCAATTCAGTGACAATAACTTCTCTTTTTCTAGTGTTTTGCATCTTCGCCAGCCTTCTATTTGACTTATTTTTTTCAGTAGAAATAGGATTTTGGGAACTGTTTTAACAGTTAGCAAGATCATTTATAGTTGCAATGAATTTGATCTATTTTTCATCTTTCATATAAACATATGAGAATATATCTTAATGTAGTTCAGAAGAAAAATTTAGAACTATCTTATATCTAGTACATGAATATAAAATATTTTTCCATTGTCTATCTCAAGAGGTAGATTAGAATTGAAAACATTTATGGCATATTACAAACTACTGAAAATGTAATTTTAACATGTTGTACTTTACTTTTAAGTGGCAGTTCAGCAGGTGAGCTCTGCAGGTGAATTTTCACTGGTTTATAATAAAGTCTTTAGCTTTTGATAGGCTCAAATATTTATCTGGCTATCAGAGTTTTAAATTTTAACTTGCACTTTATATAGGGCAGACAGTTTGCAGCCTAACTGAGCTAGATTTTGAATGCAACTAGTTATGCGTAGGCTGTGGCAGCAGCAAACTTGGCGTCACAGTCTTCTGCTTTGGCAATAGCATGTCTAAGCAAATTGATTGTATGTTAGGTTAGGTTGCATTTTATTTGATAAATTCATAGCCAGATCCCAAGTCTCATGGCAAATATAATAAATTCTGAGCATGCCTTGTGCTTTGCCTTAAAGTGAATATTGTCTCCTATGCTGCTATTGCCAAATATAGCACTGGATCAGGGAGGGACAAAAGTGCTGCATTTTGGGATGAAATTGTCTGAAAATCTGAGCCTACAGGTAGCTAACATCTTCCCTTTCTGAGAGCAGTTAGACTGCCTCCCCCTCCCCCTCCTTTCTCCCCCTTCCCCATCTCCTTCTCTCATCAACTCTCCCTGAAAACTT